GTCTGGAGCCTTGCTGCTTGAAATGAGGTCGGTGGAGGGTGGCAGAGACCACAGAGTCCCCAAAACAGTGGTGACACCTCTAGCTTTTACACTCTCCAAGGAGGCAGCATGTCAGTGTGAACCAACAGCCGAAACCACTGCCTGAAGTAACACAGTTTTGCAAAATATTACAGGTTGAGTATGTTATTCAAAGAGGGAATCAGAAAGTGTTTTGCCATTACAGATTTTTTGGATGTTGGAATATTTGCATATTTAAAATGAGATATCATGGCGAAAAGAATCCAAGTCAAAACATGAAATTTAGTTCATATATGCCTCATACACATACACTGAAGGTAATTTTATATATTATCTTGTAATTTTGTGCATGAAGGAAACGTTTCCTGAACATCAGAAAGAGTTATCATTAGCTGCTGATGTGGACAATTTGCAGTTTCTTGGCATCATTAGGATTCCTGATTGAATTTATGTGTTATCCATAAGCAATCATGTCATTTGGTATGTTTTAAGATTTATTTTATTTTTATTGGAAAGGCAGATATACAGAAAGGAGGACAGGACAATCTTCCATCTGATTCACTCCCCAAGTGGCTGCAATGGCTGGAGCTGAGCCAACCCAAAGCCAAGAGCCTGGAGCTTCTCCTGGGTTTCCCACCCAAGTGCAGGGTGCCAAGACTTTGAGCCATCCTCGACTGCTTTCCCAGGCTGCAAGCAGGGAGCTGGATGGGAAGTGGAGCTGCTGGGATTAGAACCGGCGCCCATGTGGGATCCCGGCGTATTCAAGGCGAGGACCTTAGCCACTAGGCTTCTGCACTGGGTCCTGAGCAGCCCCTTCCTTTTCTCAGTATTATATTTTTACTAAGATTCCTCATAGGAAATCAGGTGTGGAATTTTTTTTACTTATGACATGGTGCCACTCAAGTTTCAGATTTGGAAGCATGTTGGATTTTCAGACTAGGCGTGTACAGATGAGGGGTATCGCAGCTACTCGATTTCCTGAGGTAGGCATCTAATTATTTCCATTTTATTGGTTAAATCTTGTTTGGAGGCTCAAAGACCTAGGAATTGCTTAGAATGGGACCATGGGACCCCAACCCACAAGTGCAGTCAAATCCCTTTGACTCCCTATTCACGCTTTGCCTCAAATGCTCCTATATTGATGTGGGCTTGGGAAGTGCAGGTAGGAGCAGGAAAAGAATGATAATGAAAAAAACCCCACTTATTCCAAGTCAAATTCTCCAACCATCAGCAGATAAAGGAGGAAATAACTTTAAGGGGAAACCTCTCTTCTGCAGAGATGCTGATCTAACCACAGAGGGAGGGGTTCAGTTTGATCTCTGGAGACAAATTCGGTAGTTCAAGGGCAAGCTGTCCTTCAGCCAGAGAGGAGTGCCTGGCGCCTTCCTGGGTGTCCCTCTAAGGATGCCCAAGAGAGAAAAGGAGCAGAGGCCGTCAAGGGCAAGGCCATCTGGTTAGGTGCTTGGTCCTTGCCATGGGCAAGGACTCTCTTTAGAGCTGGGAGCCCATTAAATAAACGAGAACTCTGATAAAAGTGTCAGCCCCACTGGGGCAGCGAATGAGGTGTTTGTCACATGCTTGAAGGCTGCCTCGGGAGAGCGATGGCAAATGACCATACGGGCAGGCTGTTGGCACCGTCCCACCTAGCACCTGCAGCCTGAGCCCTCTTCCAGGCAGCTTTTCCTAAGTGGTTGTCTCAGCAAGGTGACTTCCTTTCACGAGAGTCAGCTAGTTTTACAGGGGTGGTGGCACCTGCAGAAGCTTGCCCACCAGAGCTGTGAATCTTGTAATATGCTATTGGGCATTCTTGGGTCTTCCATGCCTCACGTTTTGCGAGGCAGTGTTGAGAGCTTCCGAGTACAGGGGTGACAAAAATCTCTTTTGGCTAAGCCAGTGCTTAGACCAAGGAGATCCTTAGCTGGGGTTTGGACTGGTTTAGAGATGATCCTCTTTACACCATCTGCTACATCACCCTACAAAAGCCCTGAACAGCCAGGGTTGATGCAGGCTGGGTCTCCCATGTGGGTGGGAGGTACTCAAGTACTTGACTTGCTGGTTCCCAGTACCTGTGCCAACAGGAAGCCGGAATTAGGAGCAGAGCTGGGATTTGAACCCAGGCACTTATAGGGGATCTAAGTGTCCAGAGCAGCTCACTGCAAAATCTTAACTGCTATGCCAAACTGTCTTGATTTAGGTCATGTTCACCTGGTCTTTTCAAATAACGTTGCCAGAAAACCATAGGAATTACACATGCCAAATACCATGTCCATTTTGCCCAATCGTGCTCTCTACAAAGGACACACAGCCACACCACATTTTAGTCTTTATTACGTTTTTTTTTTTTTAAGTAAAGAAATCCCATGGAATCCAAGATAACAAAATTACAGTTTTTGTTTGCAATGATTGTTGTTTACCACCACACAGAATCCAAGTAGAATCAAAAGTAATTATGAGAAGATAATAAAATAATCAGGACACCATTGTTTAGTATCGTTTCTTAATAAAGGTAAATATTCCCATATTTAGAAAAAATTGCATTGCTAGTTGCGAATCTTAAATACCTCAGTGCTAATGGATCCTGAATTCCATCCCCCACCCCCCGCCCAAAGATCCAGCTGCACGGAGGCTCTCAGAACACAAATGCAAAAATACAGTATTTTCAGGGCAGCATGTTTAAGTTTTAGAAAATTCAAACAAAACACAACAAAAACAAAGCAGGATTAGGAATGTGAAAGTGATGGTTCTCCAAAAATCAATCTGGAAGCAGAGATGCCAACAGAAGAATGCGGTTGAACGGAGTCCACCCAGGACAAGGAGAGGCACGACCCCGCTCTTCCTCCCCCGTCCCCACTCCCTCCCGCCCTGGTGTCCCGAAGGCAGCTGCAGTGGCGGATGTCAAAAGCTCAGGTAGTGAAGGTCTTCCTGAGGCACTGGGAGACCCGGATCACCTAGAACTGGTGCTGAGAGGTGGCAGGATTCTACACTGGACTTGTGCTTTCAGAAAACTAAAGCAAGGCTGAGAAGAACCAAACAAAGCCCAGCTCCTATGCCCAGGAACTTCGTCCACGCTCAAGAGTAGCCAGGAAAAGATGTGGTGGCGCGGACGTTGGGGAGAGGCGGGGGTGGGGTGGGCAGTTATCACAGGAGGCTGTTGGCTGCTTAGGTTGGCATTGGGGGGGGGCGTGTCGTGGTGAACTCTCATGGAAACTGAAGGTGTTTCTGCAGGTGCTGTAAGAGGATTGGCCCCAAATTATGGCAATAATGGATCTCTTGGCTAATGGGGACCAGAACGGTGAGAAGGCAGAGTATTGGTTTCATTGACTGATAGCCTCTAGTTAAAATGCTGAAAGCTTCGAGGGACTCAACAATGTAGGACTGAGCCCACCTGTCAGAGACGGACTTCAGCTCATCTATGAAGGACACGTGGAAGCTTTACCCACAAACATGCTAGGAAAAACGTCAGAAAACAGGGGACACTGGCACACTTTCCAAGGGGCCTTTCCGGTAGTCAGCACAACTGGTGAGGCTGACTGGGCCCAGGATCCAGGGCTGGCGACGCAGTGAAGCAGGCGAGAGGAAGCTGCCCCTGCTTTGGAAGGTGTTCCGGTGCTTTCTGCCTGCAGGAGCCAGTTCCCCTTTCCTTAGTTTCAAATACAATTTGGCAAAGCAATCCTAGTTTAGAAAGGGGTGGGGGCAGGGAGGGCATGTCCTCTGCTCAGGTAGCAGAGGTACAGGATAGTCTTTCCCTCGACTGCTTGGCTTCTGAACGCCAGAGGCAGGCCACTTTCCATGATTTTCGGAAGCAGCCAATAATCCAAAGTGGCTTTGAAGAACAGTGTAGGGTCCCGAGAAGATAGGAAGGTAAAAATGCAGTGTTTTGGCTGGTTCCAGACCATTCATACTGGTGAGGGGTGGAATGGGAAGATGAAAATGAAATAGGAGCTCCTAGGCCACGTGAGGGGATTGGAGGAGTTTGCTATGGCTCCGCTCTAAGCTCCCGTAGCAGGAGACTTAAGAGTTCCAATGCCATGATATTGTAATACCAGGGGATTTTCTAGAGGCAAGTTAAGGCTTTCTAGGCAAAGGACCAACAATTCCTGATGCCACAGTGACAGAAAGCTACAGTGAAGATGCTAAGTAGCTCCACCCGGCTGCCTAATAGGCAAAGACCGTGAGTTCCTTCAACTCTGCCGGGAGAGCCTCACTGTGCCTCCAAGAGGGAATCAATGCCTCTCACATCGCAGACACCTGCTTGCCTGGCAGACACTAACAAGAACGCACACCCGGCTTCCTGGGAGCTGGCCCAACAGTCTTGAGTCACACAGTCACAATGAGTGCTCTCATTCAGGCCAAGGTCAGCTTTCACCAAGGCTGTGGTTGTGGGCTGGAAGCCCGAGCAGGAAGGGCTTTGCTCACAATGCCCTGCCTGAGCTGCACTACAGGATGGAGACGCTTCCCTCCTTCCGACGCCCAGCACCTGCCGCAGGCACAAGACCGCCCTCAGAAGAGCCAGGATGCTGTGCTTGGTGACAGTGGGATGCTCTGAAGTAAGAGGCTGAAGACACAGGGCTCTGGACAGCATCCAGCTCCTGCCAGCAAAGGCCTCACGTGGAAAATCCCGCCCGGCAAAGGCGCCTCAAGGCAAGCGCTGAGCCTTGCCACAGCTGTCTCCACTTGCGAGGTCTGGGGAAGCCAAGGTCAGGCAAATGTTGCATCAAGAGATGACCTGGTTTTAGACAAGCTGGAAGAGGAGGTTACACAGGCTCAGGAGGTGAAGGGAGTGAGGGAGACTTGCCTGTGATCCAGTGTGAATAAGAGACCGGACAAGGACCCAGGTATAGGGGACCCTGGTTCCATAACACTAAGTGGAGAAGGGAATACTCCCCTTTTGGGTGCCTTTCCACCCTTCTGGTAGGACAGGGGTTCCCTGTACAGGTCACACAACCCCAGAGTTTAGATGAGTATTTTAACAACTTCCTGTCTGCAATCACTGGGTGCAATCGCCCAGCAGGAAAGAGAGGGTTTTTTTTTTTCAAGTCTGCTACACTCCCTTCTAACATACATGCGGCTAGGAGAACTGGCACTAAATTTTAAAGTCAGAAATTCCTCATGTGCCTGGGATGAGTGTCTCATCAGTGGCTTCAGACTGTTTAGGAGAGAGGGTCCAGCTGGAGAACCGTGGGTGTCGTCCCCGTCTTTGTGCTAGGTCATTTATACAACAAACTGTCTAGACTATGTAATTTATATCTTTAATATGATTTCAAAATATTATTTCCAAACACCCTTAAAAGAAAAAACAAACCTCAATCTTATTTTACCCCAATTAGGAACAAAGAGCAAAAAGGGCATTCATAGTAGCATCAGAAATGGATGACCTTGGTGGGGGGGCAAAGCAAGGAAGTGGAGGACGGAAAGGAGCTGACCTACATGAACGGTGCCACTCCCTCGTTGATTAGACAAGTTGGCATCCCTGAATTCAATGTCTCTGTGTTTTCATTCAGGGACAACCAAGGATTTTCCTGAAAGACAGACACAGTCACTTTCTCATTTCCAGGCCCGAGAGCCTGACGTGCAAACAAAGGGCTTCCGTTGATGTCATGTGAGCCAAGATGGGACGTCAGTGCTTTTCAGAGCCACACAGGGATTTCAGCTGGGACGCGGCCCTCGCAGCCCTGCAGGGACATTCTGGCATTGAGGAAGCAGAGGCTACGCCCCCAGCCCTGCCTCTCCTGTGTGGGGGTCATCGGAACAATGCAGACCAGGCTCGCTCAAGGACTCCCAGTCCCCTGCCACGGGTGTGTTACAGGACCGCCATTCCCCTTCCGGTACCTGGGTAGCTTCTGTCAGAATAGTTCAAGACACGTGGCCTCAGGCAAATGAAAACAAGTCTCTCACTTCCTGGGACAGTGATTCAATTCTACTAAGTTATTGCTTGGTTCAACTATTTGCACAGGAATGAATGTTAACAGGAGGAAACAGGACTATGAGTTTTCTAGATTACAAGTGTGTTTGGGTGGAGGGAAAAGTAACAGAGAGGCACTGGCTTCCAAATCAAGGGGTAGGTGATAAAGTGCCAATCTGTGCTGAAGGAATATGAAAAAGAAACACAGGAGAGAAATAGCAACTCGGGGGAAAGTCACGGAGACAGGATTTGGTGGGTGTGAGAAATGACACACTGAAGTAAATTAGTTGAGATGACAGATATCTCAATCTTTTGAGACAAATGGCTGTTGTTTCATGTTAGAAGGAAGATCTGGTGATTGCCAGAAAACAATTTCTCGAGGCGACAGAGTCCAAACTATACCCACCCGTGACCGTCTGGGTCTCAGGCAGATCCTCTGATTCCCACACATCCACACAGACCCACTATTTCTCTTGCAGCCTGTTGTGGAGCCAAAGGTGACACATGGATTTTATCAGGATCCAGGCAGTTTCACCCATGGGTCTGCTCAGTTTCAGACAGCAGCTGTGGATTTTTCAAAGTGTAGGGTTTTTAGAGAGCTAAGCCACAGGTTTGCAGAAAAGGAATACTTAGAACCCAGAATGGGAAAGATCTACCCAATATTCCACAAATATAGAGTTATTAGAAATCTGGTCTCCAAGTCATATCTTTTGGTTGCAAGTATTTTTCTCTAAACTCAAATCTAACTTTTGAATTGACTGGTATCAAAAGCCACAGACAGAGAGACCTGGGTTAAAACACTAAAGTTACAATTGCTTAAAAAAAAAAATCCCCAAAACTTTTTAATATGAAATGAGGGACTACAGAAGAAAGGCAAACGATGTCACCCACATGCTTTGCCTGGGAGAATAGTCCCCAGGCTCCCCTGGAGTGATGTTCTCTCAAACCTCAGTACACTGAGTTTGTCATTTGAACTTTAGTAGTAGTTGTCTCGGCAATCTACCTGGTCCAAGTCCCTCACACTACAGGTAAGGAAGTTGAAAGTCTGAGAGGACTTTTCCAGGGTCATATAGCCACGAAGAGGCAGAGCCAGGGTTCATTCGTATCCAGGGCCTGTCTGGAGACTCTACACCTGCTACTCAGCAGGTCCCTGGGAGTGAAGAGACACTTGTGACCGTGACTCAAGAAAGATCAGCTACCAAGATGTTTCTAAGGTAGAGGGGCTATACAACAGGGCTTTTCCTATGGATCTGGTGATGACAGCCGCCTGGGGCACTGGTCAGACATTAAAATCCCCAGACCCCTCCCCAGACTCACCGCCTCAGCTTCTCCAAGGGGAAGGACCTGGGAGGCTGAATTTTTAACAAGTGCCCCATGGGACTCTCCATCAGCAGCAAGGTGAGGGAAAACTGCCTTAGCAGCAGTAAGGGGGGAAAACTTGGCTTATGACTTGTGGGAATTTCCTTTCTCGTTTAAGAGGCCGCACACTGGGAGAACCCCCAGACTCCCAGATGGGGGTGTGCCTTCAGTGCTGGCTTAGAATGATCTCTGAGTCTACGTGCAGGCACATACAACCACCACCAAATAGCATTTGTCAGACTGCTCTCTGGGAAAAGCCTTTTGACTGGCAAAGCAAAAGTGCTATTCACACACATTTTTAATAGGGAAACTAGATGTCATTGGCTCGAAAGCAATCAGATGCTGAAACTGGACAGGAGGGTGAGAACCTGTCACTTGTCACCATGGCTAATGATACAACACAGGGAACCAGTAACTAAGCACAAAAAATAGCCTGGAGCTCCCAGAGAGCCGCCTATTGAAGACGTGCGTGGTGGGTGGGCCCCTCCCCGCTGATGGTGAGGTCAGATCCAGGTCATGGAGGGAAATGGGAGACCTGAAATAGCGGGTGAGGGGACGCGGGTTCCAGAGGAGGGCTGCTGGAGCCGCGCAGGAGTCCGAGGCCTCACTCCAGGTCGGCCTCCACCTGCTCCGTGTCGGAGCACTGCGACTTGTTCCGTTCCCACTGGCAGATGGCATTTGCGTACTCTACCACCAGCTTATCCATCCACGTCAGGGGCTCGGGGAACAGCACGGAGCCCTCGAAGAAGCCCAGGTGGCCCCCATGCAGGGGCAGCACGAACATGACGTTCTCCCGTTTCTCTGCAGGGCAGAAGCAGGGAGTGAGTGAGCTTCTGTCCTCTGGTAGGAGGTGCGAAAGCAATGGCCGGGGTGTCCAAGGCCTGTGCCATAGGGAAAAGCCACCTACTGGGGCTTCCTACCTTTACTCACTCTCTTTGATCCCCCCAGACTAGGCAGAACTTTGCTGGGGCAGGTAAGACAGAGCGACTGGCAGATATTAGGTGCTTTTGGTTTGTTTTTCATTTTTTAATGAAGACACATACACACGGGGCGGGGGTGGGGCTGGGAGTGAAGGGAGAGAGAATCTCATATTCCTTCCACCTGCTGGTTCTTTTTCCAAATGCCCTGGGCTGGGCCAGGCTGAACAGGAGCCAGGGACTCACAACACAGGTGGCAGGAATTTTATTGCTTCAGCCATTGTTGCCTCCCAGGGTCTGCGTTAACAGGAGGCTGGAGAAAGGAGCTTGAGCCAGTGTAGACGGGAGAGTTCTAGCTGGTGTTTTAACCACTGTGCTAACTGCCTGCCCTGATTTGGAATAGCAGCTTAGCTTTGGAGCAGGGTGGCACCAGCTTAAGAAATCCTGAGCGGTCTGTGTGGAGGAGGGGCAGCCAGGCGCTACACGGCTGAAGTCCAGCTTTGATGGGGAAGCCAAGCCACCTGGGCCATCCAGTTAACACACAGGTTGTGATTTAGCAAGCCCTAGGAGGGAGCTCTGATGTCCTGGATTTCTAACACACCTCTAAGGTCCAGCTCTGAACAGGGAGTAATGGCACTGATTGTATTATCTGCTAAAGAACAAGAATAATTCAGTGAACCACTAGCTTTCATTATAGACGTTGATCTTCACCATGGAGATTTAACTTAAAGCTGCAAGCTGTGTCAGGATGCCCAAGCTCTCGAGGTCATGTGCCACCCTGAGAATTCAAAACCTCAGCTTGACTTCAGAAATCCATGTTTAGGTTGGTCTCACCTAGGCGAGTAAAGCTATTACTGAAGAAGTGTGTGGAATGGGCAGCCAGGCGCAGCAGGAAGCAGCTGTCTACCGGGGAACTCAGGGACATGGCCCACACCCCGCTGACTCTGTAGGGCTCCCTTCTTGTCCCACCCCCTTCCATCTTCCCTTTCAATTGCTATTTTATAGACTTCTTTGTGTCAGCACTAGAGCTGTGCAAGTTATTGTAGATGCACAAAGGAAATACGTGCCACTCTTGGTTCTCTCCTCACTGCCACACATGTGGACAAGCGGGCTGCCTCTGTCAGGGAGCCCGTGGAAGGATGGGATAGCGTTCATCTCCAACATATGCAGCCCCCATCCTGTGGGGGCTTTTTTCACTTTGCCATCCATCCCAGCGTAGGGCCACGAGAGGACCGGAGGTGTATTTAACACATGATGTGTGTGAGACCCAGCCCGAGGATTGCGGAGGGCAGGTGGCTTTGTTCTAGGGATTTGAAATGATGACGCGAAGGCTCCTGGAACCCTCGTGCTTCCTCTGCTACCCTCTTGCTGCTACTCAGTGCTTAACCTGAGCATGCAGTCATGCACTCTTGAAACTACACTTCCAAACTTAAAGCAGCCACAATCCCAAGGCATGGGTTTCACAGAACCTGGCTATGTCTTTGAGTGGTGGTCCTGTCCCGTACTGGTGGCGGGTAGCAGAAGGCTCTGCCCAGGCCCCCATCATAGCCACAGGACTATTAGGGACACCATCGCGAGTTGTACTTCCCCCCAAATGGCGTGGCCTCTGGGAGACCACGGCATAGTGAAGGGAACAGACTTGGCTGTGGTAATTTGCTGAGTGGACGGCAGGGTGGGCGGCAGGCGGGGAGGAGAGAAACCCTTACCTGAGAGAGATTTCGGAATGGTCAGCAGACTTTCATGCACTAATGGGTCGTCGGCTGCGTTGACTAGCATGAGAGGCACATAAATCTGCAACAAGAAAGTCAAGCAGAATTAAATGATTGGTTCCCCCTTTCAGGTCTCATTTGAGTTAAGGCTCAAGTTCACGGCTGAACATTATCTTAAAGGCAAAGAGAGAGGGTCACACAGCTCAGCTTGCCGAAGAGGTGGCACTGGGATGAGTTCCAAGTGCCTCTGTGATCACAGTCCGGCAGCAGGCATGTAGAGGACCCGGTAACACAGGGACCCCCCAGACTCCCGTGGAGAGAAAGAAAGAGAGAGAGAGAGAGAGAGAGAGAGAGAGAGAGAGAGAAGCCCTATGGCATCCACAGGCAAATACTGCCAACTAACCATGCCTTTTAGAAAATGCGACTTTGGGCCCAGCGCGATAACCTAGTGACTAAAGTCCTCTCCTTGCATGCGCCAGGATCCCATATGGCTGCCGGTTCTAATCCCAGCAGCCCCACTTCCCATCCAGCTCCCTGCTTGTGGCCTAGGAAGGCAATTGAGGATGGCCCAAAGCCTTGGGACCCTGCACCAGTGTGGGAGACCTGGAAGAAGCTCCTGGCTCCTGGCTCAGCTCTAGCCCTTGTGGCCACTTGAGGTGTGAATCAAGAGACGGAAGATCTTCCTCTCTGTCTCTCCTCCTCTCTGTATATCTGACTTTCTCAAAAAACCCACAAAAACCAAAAACCAAAAACCAACTCTTAAAAAACCCACAAAAAACGCAGCTTTACAGAGTCAGGTACCTATGAATTCAGTTTGTACTGGCAAAGAGGGCTTTCTAGAAGAATCTAGAAGTTGAAAGGAAGAGGAGAACTCTCTTGGCAGGGTTCCATTCAGCATTTAACAGAACAGTGATGGTACCACACTGGGAGGAATGGCTGATGTGACCGACAACACAACTACAATTTCCAATTATGTGCTCCCTGGGAGAAGAATGGGACAAACCAACAGAGGTGTACATGGACCGGGCTAATTGGGAAGTTACATATTTGTGTAAAAAGAGCAACTGTGTGAAGACAGATGGGAGAAATTGACTCAGTGGTGGCTCAAATAATAAAAAAAAATACATCAGGACTGTGGTTTGCTGTAAGCTTAAAAAGCAGCTTATTGTAGCTGCTAATAACTGCACTCATGCAGACCAGTTGCTAAACATACTTTGATCAAACAGAAGCACGTCTGTTTTACTCGGCTTGCCAGATTAGGGCAGGAATATGCAGTTCGGCTGTAGCATCATTCTAACAAAAAAATGCACAGTGACTCTGAGGTAAGTGTCCAAGGACGGCATGGGATCTAGGTGGATCTCCCTCCAGGGCAGAAACCAGGAAGGGTTGTGCTGTCAAAGGGAGACTGAGGGCAAACTGGGCTTCTCTCCGGATATGGGCACACCCTGGACTACAGGCGGCTCTGGGGTGAGCCTATGATGGCCACTGAATCTGAGCCAATCATGAATCCACGCAACAGAGTCAAGCGCTTCAAGCCAGGTTCTGGCTGCGCTTCCACCGACAGATTGAGGAGGAATATTCACACTGTGCACGCAGCTGTGCACGCAGCTGGATGGGGCGCCAGGAATTCCGAGCCGGTGCTGGCCACTTACCCGGTGCAGGTACCGCATACAGCTTTCCTCCTCGTAGTATTCCTTCAAGGAGTTATAGCCATGGAACTTCCTGCAGAACACACACACACACACACAAGGAAAGCACAAAACAACCTTTGTCACAAGGCTGCACTGCTGAGCCAATTATTATCCAGTTCCTGCACCAACATGTTGCATTAGTAGAGAATATAAAGGTCTCTTTCAAAGCTATGCATAGATTAAAAATCTTTTTGCCTCATAAGAAGTGTATCGGTTGGTTCCATTTTTCTTGTTTTTTTTTTTTTTTTTTTAAGTACCTTCGTAGACACAGGTAGCAGAGGTCGGTCTCAATGCTGCACTGGTTTTATTATTGCTTCTAATTCGGTACTAACTCATGTCAGTAGAACACAGGTAGGCAGCACAGACGGGGGCCAAGAGTTGGGGTTTGGGGCCTGGTGTGATGGCCTACTGGTTAAAATCCTCGTCTTGCACATGCTGGGATCCCATATGGGCACTGGTTCTAGGCCTGGCTGCTGTATTTCTCATCCAGCTCCCTGCTTGTGGCCTGGGTAGATGGCAGCCCAGAGCCTTGGGACCCTGCATCTGTGTGGGAGACCTGGGACACGCTCCTGGCTCCTGGCTTTGGAATGGCTCAGCTCTGGCCGTTGCAGCCACTTGGGGAGTGAACCAGTGGACACAAGATCTTTCTCTCTGTAAACCTACCTTTCCAAAAAAAATAAATCTTAAAAAAAGAAAAGTTGGGGTTTTGCAATCTGGATAAAATACTGGCTCCAGCACTTACTGCCTAAGTGACATGAGGCAAACGGCTCAGCTTTTTTGAACCTTGGTTTCCCCTCTGTGACACAGACTTGAAGACAGCAGCCATCACAGACACTGGCCAGCACAGTGACTCTGTGGTATCAGTTAGCTGTGATGCAGTTAATTTATCCTTTGATGCAGCCTAGAACCAGATATCACTGAATGGAGCATTCAAATTAAAAATGTTTCCTCCTCATTTGACACCACACCTAACCCCCTTAAGTGGGGGTGGATACCATTCATTCTCACTTTCTAAACATATCAGCAATTGCCTGGTTTTTCTATTTCATTTGAGAAACAATCAGCCTTTTTTAAGCTCCTTAGTGTGTGATGATGGCTCAAATCTCTGCAGGACAATACGCAGAGATCCCAAACGCCCTCGGGAGCCAAGGGCTGAACACCTGTTTCAGATCATGGCTCTTAGGATCGAAATGATCATTTCATAAGAAGGATGACCTTTTGAAAGAGAACTGATGAGTTCCGAGGTCAGCTCGACCTTTTCCAGCTCAGGCTGATCTCAGTTGGAAGCTGCTGTGACGGGAAAGAGGCCACTGTCAAGGCCGTGACTGCAGTTGCCCGGAAGGGCCTGGCAGGTGCAGAGGAAATGAGTGGGCAGGATTTGTGTCTTACAATCACAGAAGAGTCTTCACATCCCCAAAGAAAGAGGCTCTGTCAGTTTTGCTTGAAACCCACAGCCCTCTTGGACTGTTTTGTCTTTCTGCTTTTGACGGAGGCATTGAGAGAAGAAATATTTCCTTTTCTTCCAGCACAAATGCACATTCATGAGGCACCTGGTATCGGCTCTGGCTCTGAGGCAGGGCAGGCTGGGTGAGGGAAGCAGGGCTGGGCTTGCACCCTAGCTCCTTGGCTCGCACAGCCCCCCGCAGTGTCCCGGGCCAGATCCTTTCACTGGTTTCCAAGAGAAACTAGGAATTTGGATTAGTTTGTGAAATCCTGTTTTTAAATGTTGGATACTTAGTTAAAGAAGGGGAAAAAAAAATCCTTAAAGAGGGCGTGGCAAAGCCATTGTGCTGGGCACAGCTGGCCCCCTGCCCCAGGGCACAGCTCTTCCTCCCCGCCCTCCGGGCCTACCTCATCACGTTGTCATCAATCTGCATCAAGGAGGTTGCCGTGTAGAGCCGGCTCAAGTCTGTGTCCTCCAGGCTCTGGGGTTTCTTCACGTGGTCCCCAAAAAGGGCTTGCCTAGGAGGAGACACAAAAGTAGACAGGGAATAACAAGTGGAGGGGAATGAAGCAGAGCAGAGCAGGCTTCCTTGTCCAGAGGGAAGCCAGGAGAGATGGGTTTTCAGGTCGGAAATACTGAGATCCCTCCAGCCTGTATAACGCCCAGAGGACAAGCTTACACTTTGACTCTTGGAAAATGCCCGAGGGAGCAACACTGCCATCTGGTTTCCTTTCCAGAGGCAGCGAGGTACAGTAAGGACTTGGTCTGAGGCTAGCTGAACAGTACCCAGCCTTCTCCACAGGGGAAGGGGTCTCATGCTGGGCCCCTCTTTGGCATCTGTACTGACATGGTCCATTTGGCAGGGCCCCTCCTTTCCCTTCAGGAACTTGCTTATATTGCTCAACCATGAAGAGCTGGGCAAATCAGTCAATAGCTCTTCAACATGTTAGCTAAAAAGCTATACACACTTGCCCTGCCTAGGAGTATCAAACTCCATAGTTCTTCAAGTTCCTTATAAAAGGTGGCATACATAGTATGGGGCTGGTGTGGTGGCTCAACTGACTAATCCACCATCTGCAAATGCCAGCATCCCATATGGGCACTGGTTCATGTGCTGGCTGTTCCACTTCCGATCCAGCTCTCTGCTAATGATCTGGGAAAGCAGCAGAGGATGGTCCAAGTCCTTGAGATTCTGGACCCATGAGGAGACCTAGAAGAAACTCCTGGTTCCTGGCTTTGGATTGGCTTAGCTCTGCCCATTGTGGCCACTTTGGGAAGTGATCTAGCTGATGGAAGAACTTTCTTTCCTTCTCTCTGTAAATTTGCCTTTCAATGAAAATAAATAAAATCTTAAGGTGGGAAAGTATTGCATATGATTCAGGCATATCCTTCTGTATACCTCAAATCATCCTTTTATTATTCTTAATTCCTTATATAAAGTAAATGCTATGTAAACAGTTATACTGTATCAATTATAGAAAAATGACCCTTAAAATTCTGTTTATGGGATATTGCCTGAAATAGACAGATATGGAACCTATGGTTTCAAAGGGTCAATTGTTTCCAGGGATCCTCGAGGACAAGAGCCACTTTGAGAGGACGGCCACCTGGCAGGGGTCAAGGTGCACCCCAGGCCTCCCGACCAGCAAGGACTCTGGACTCTTTTTGGGGAAGGACCGGGTTCGTGCTTAGGTTTGGCGTTCTTTAGAGGAAGACAGATTACCGAAACTCAATGCTCCGGTGTCCATTTGCAACATCTCCAAAGGAACAGGACACATTTCTTTAGCATTTTTAAAAGATTAAGACAATTCTACCTATGGGATAGAATTCACAGCTTCAAGTTTCCCTAATACGCCTATTTGGCTTTCTGCTTTTGGCTTTCTGTAATTTCAGAAACATAAACACGCACAGGGCACCCACAGGACACCTCTAATTTGTGAAGAATTACACAAAACTGATTGGTAGTAAAACAAAGCCTTTGATCGAAAACTTTTCAAGGAGTCACTGCGATTGAAGTCAGGGTCTGGTGCAATAGCGTAAAGGCTAAAGTCCTCGCCTTGCATGTGCCAGGATCCTATATAGGCGCTGATTCTCATTCTGGCGGTACCACTTTCCATCCAGCTCCCTGCCTGTGGCCTGGGAAAGCAAAGACGGCCCAAAGCCTTGAGACCCTGCACCCACGTAGGAGACCCAGAAGAGGCTCTGGGCTCCTTGCTTTGGATTGGCTGAGCTCTGGGCTGTTGCGGCTGCTTGGGGAATGAATCAATGGATGGAAGATCTTCCTCTCTGTCTCTCCTCCTCTCTGTATATCTGACTTTGCAATAAAAATAAAATAAAATCTTTAAGAAAAAGAAAATTGAGGTTTTCCACATGAATGGCAGGAACCAACGACTTGAGCCAGCACTTGCCAGGGCATTAAAAGCTGGAGTCAGGAGTGGAATGGGGTGTTAAACCCAGGCACTGCAATACAGGACACCGCTATCTTAACCGGTGTCTTAAATGCTAGGCAAAATGCCAATCTGGGAATTACTGTGGATTCCAGAAAAGCAGAAGGGTGGACAGAAGACTTGAACTTGGTGCCAAGGGCTAGGCTTCACCACTTCTGGTAGGAAGAGATCTGAGCAAATCCCCAGAACCATCTGCGCCTCAGCTGAGCCACCTGCTGCCTGGTGCCCAGCACTCAGCAGTTGCTCCAACAACACAAGCTGCGGGTCAACAATTGCTTGTCAAAGCACAGGGGGACACAGTTTCCCCCTGTTTTTCACTTCCTTGTGAGGTCCTGTGGATGGGCCCATATGGGCTTCTCGCAGGGGAACCCCACAGGAGAGCAATCCGGGGGTGAGGGGCCCGAGATGGCGGGGGGAGGGTTCTGACAAGCAGTGTGAGGGAAGAGCAGTGTCTGTTGGGGCAGAGTGGTCTGGGGGAGAGCAGATGCCACTTGAGCCCCTGCGTGGCCCGCTCCAGCAGGGGGGGGGGGGATGAAGAAGTTGGAGATACAGTGATGACGGTGACCCTAGGGATAAAATCGCCCCTGTTCACTGACGGCTACCTCTCTGGCCGGTTCCGAGCAGGGGAGAAGTGGATGAGGAAGCTGAGAGTATGCAGAGGCTGCTTGCTGCGCTGGGCAGAATCCCAAGGGGCCAGCTCCAACTGAGCACTGATTCCCAGGCATGGAAGCATCCAAAGAAGGGAGGCCACCGGCAGTGAGGGCCAGTTCAGCTCTGTTCTGAGGACATGGTTCCTTCCCTTGGATTTACAGAGAACCAGCAAGAGAGGAAGCATTTTGTTTCCAGCCAACCATTGGAGAGTCCGCATCCCCCTAGCACTTCTCTACCTCCTTGCAAAGCAGGGGTCCCAGGTTTGACTGCCCTAGGAGCTCAGGGAGCAGCCGTCTCCGGACAGCCCAGAACAGGAGTACCTGTGGGAGAGGATGATCTTCTTCATGTTGTCAGCCATGAGGAAGTTGTAGAAGCGCCGGCACTGGTCCCACTGCATGAAGGTTTCCTGGGCCCTGAAAGAACCATGGTGAGAGTGAGGTGCATGGCTGGGAGATACAAGGAGCTGTCTGGAGGGGGTCTGGGGTGGTCTTGCCACCAAATGCAGAGCTGGAGGCGGGGGCGAGGGGGCTGCTTCCTCTGCCCTGCTATGGCCTTCGGCTGATATTGAGGCTTTTTGTTACAAAAAAAATTTATTTATCCAGGCTGGCATCATGGCTTAACTGGTTAATTCTCTACCTGTAAGCACAGACATCTCAAATGGGTGCCTGTTTGTGTCCTGGTGGCTCCATTTCTGATCCAGCTCCCTGCTTGTGGTGTTGGGAAAGGAATAGCAGATTGCCTAAATTTTTCAGCCCCTGCATCCGTGTGGGACACCCGGAAGAGGTTCCTCGCTTTGGATTGGCTCAGTTCTGGCTGTTGTGGCCATTTGGGGAGTGAATCAGTAGATGGAAGATGGTTCTCTCTGTGAATATGCCTTTCCAAATAATCTTTAAAAATATATTTATTTTATTTTATTAGAAAGCAGAATGACTGAGAGTGAGAGAGAGAGAGAGAGAGAGAGAGACCTCCGACACTCTGGTTCACTTCCCAAATGCTGGCCACAGCTAGATCCGGGTCAGGCTGACACCAGAAGCTCAGGACTCCATCTGGGTCTCCCACATGGATTGCCAGGGCCAAGCTCCTTGCCAGGGCCAAGATGCCTTGCACGTGCACTAGCAGCAAGCCAGATCAGAAGCAGGGCAGTCCTGATTTGAAGCTGCATTCTGACAAGGGATGGAGGCATCCCAAGCTGCACCTGAACTTGCCATGTCACAACCACAAAGCTCGACCCAGCACCGAGATGGATGTGTGATGTTCACGTATCTGCTGGAAGGAAGGAAGGAAGAAGGCTGGAAGGAACCACAACAGTGCAGTTGAAGGTGACCTGGCCAGGAACTCCTCTAGGGCCAGGCGGCACTGCTGTTTGCCAATGGCACTGCTGACACCTCCTACTAGCACCCTGGCCTTCCCAGTCACAGAAAGCTGTAGCTATCGTCATGCGGACCTTTTTCTGTTGGGCTTCGTACCTGCAGGTAAGGTTCCCTGGCTAAATGCCGGGCACACATGTAAGAAAGTAGGGGTGTGGGAAGTACCGTGCAGGAAAAACCCACTTAAAAAATGTTTTTTTTTTTCAGAGGCAAAAGAGAACTATAAAATCAGATCCTTCCACGTAAGCCTTTCAATGATCCTTCTACTACTGAAAGGGCAAGGTGAGAGGTCTTCATTGCCTTCTAGGCTCAGTGGGCGGGCCTGTCTGGCAAGACCCTGTCCAGAGCCTGTGAGTGCCCTGCTGCGGGTGGGTGAGGCTCTCCCCACCTGCCAGAGTCCTGGCTGCTGCAAGGAGAAGACAGCACAGCCAGCCTTGCGTTCAGACTGGCTTTGGTGACCAGCCTCTGCGCCCACACTGAGTACAGTGGCAGCTCAGCCCTCCCCACTCAAGGCTTCCTTGTGTTTGAATCCCAACACATGCTGCCGCCAGGTACACACTATGTACAGCAAAACTTCCCTGCTGGGATCTCAACTATATGGGACGCCAGCACTGGGGGAACAGGCTTAACATGCTTCACCACAGCACTGGCTCTGCGTTCACTACTTTTTTTTTTCTTTCTTTTTGACAATCTTTACATAGTTAATTCGGGCACAAAGGTTCAAGGGCTACAAGAAAGCGGATAAGACTATTATTTCCACAATTTTTTCCTGTATCTGGGGTAAAGGGGGAGATAAAGGGAGAAGCCCCACCCATCCCAGGTCCCTGATGTGCGGCATGCTCCAAGGGTCTTGCTCAAGTAGTTTTGATAGTTCAACAGTTCTGAATTGCTGCCAGTCTCACTACTCCAAGTACAAAGTCACTGCAGAATCCATTGCAGTTCACCTTAGAGTCTGTTTGTGCAGTTTTTGACTACCAACATATGGCTGGGGTAGTTGATTGACTTGTTCTGTCCTCTGTTGTGATGCCAGGTGTCCTCTGCAGGTTCCGATAGACTGCCATATCCTCCCTGTGCACCTGGTTATGCTCTCCACTGCTGTCTGAGCCTCTGAGGAGGCTGGGCTCTGGCACTTGCACTCCATGGCAGACCATGGAACCTGCACTTCTCTTCTTGATTAGGGTTGAGTCCAGCAGTTCGATGGGGGAAGATTCCAAAAGAAACTTTGTCTGAGGTGATCCCAGACCAGATTCCTGTGCACTCACTACTTTTAACATACATATCTTATCATGTTCTACATTTTTCTTGCTGTTTTAAAATAAAAACCTGCTTTAATTCCCAGAGTTGTTATAGTTCACACAGTTAGCCCTTCTGGGCACATGGGTAATTTCTAACATGGCCCAGCTCCCAGGGAGAAAGTGGACCCTCACAAATACACAGGCAATGCTAGACAGACTGGCCAGCTCAAGACAGGGCGCCTGCACTTTGAGGAGGGATGCTGGAGTCTCTGGAACCAGGGGACTCTGAGCAGAAGGCTTTTGGGCTGGCAGCTGGCTGCCCTTCGGGGAGAACCAGCCCAGGGACGGCTCATCACTCCCAGCTAGTTCTGCTTGGCAGTGGGAGATGAAGCAAGCCAGGTGTGTGAGCCAAGGGCCTCTGAGACCAGCCTGGCAGGCATTGTCAATTCTTCTGGAATGGTGGTGCACCCAGAGTGGGTGGCTGCCCTCCAGGTCCATTTTTTCTAAGGAAACAGCTTCCCTAAAGATATAGTCTTACAGAACAAATTCAAGTTCAAGGGTATATACGCAGTCTGTCATTTTTCTGGTTTCAAAAAAATTATTGACAAAAGACAACAATCCCTGTGCACTAAGAGTGCACGTGGCCAGAGAACAAACTCGGGCAGAAAAACTGAGCTGTTTTGCAGCCCAGAGTTTTGACAAAATTCATCAGGGCTTCCTCCCACTGTCCCCCACTGCCCACTCTGCTGCCCCTGTTGGGCTCTGATGCAAAATTACAGATTGTCCAAAGTTACTTTACAGATCTTCGGCCCTACGCTGACATTTCGGGACGGTACAACTCTGCGGAGGGATTTTTATTTATCTTAAAATTTTCCTTTTGTCATAAACTCGTTTACACAGTCTGGAGTTGACTCACTGAAAGCAGACGACAGAAACGCACAGAGCTCTGGGCAGGGAGAGTGACACCTGGCTCTTGCCTGGGGCAGGAAGGCCCCGATTAAGAAACACTGGGAAGGAAGCGCAGGTGGCCGTGACTTCCGGACATGAACACTGCCTCTCAGCCAACAGCCCCACTGGCATTAAGGATGGCAGTGAGTCGCTCACTATCCCGGCCATCCTGCAAGGGGCCTTAGGCTGCCACGTGCCCACCCTTCCCTCCATCCCAAATCCCTTCCTGGGGACGTCCTGGGCACCCACATGCCTACTGGGTAGTATATTACTAATATACTTTTGCTGGTTTGCAGTCTTATGATATTCTTATGTCATGAAGTGCTGTGAGTCTCTCCGACACAAACCACCCTTCATGCTCAAATCACAGCAATGCTTGTCTTTCCTTGATTGACCACTTCTGTACTGTGGGAATGTCGAACACTCGCTGAGGAAAGAACTGTTCTTGTCCGTCTCCTTTCCCTGGTCTCCATGCTCCACAAGGGCAGGGAGCTGGGGGAGGGCGCCACCTCATTATGTAGGAGGGGCTCCAGCTGCAGGAATCCATGAGTAATTCATCTATTTCTGCCTCTCGCATTCCTTTCTGGTCATTGCTCACAGCACAAAATTACTGTCCAGTTTTTCATGATCAAGTTTCAGTGGATTAACTAAATCAGAGAGTTGGACGGAATCTGATGGCCTGGACTCTTAAGGGCTAGCTAGCAGCCATCTGCACTGTGGGGGCAGGGGAAGGCCCGACGTGCCATGGGACTCTGGGGCACCTGTGTCCCTCACGGGTGGTACAGCACGTTCTGATGCCTGAGCTAGTTTAGCAGCGGCTATAGTTGGTTAACTATGGCAAGCAGGTGGCTGCTCTCTGGAGGATGTGTGCGGCTCTGGCTGTGGGGGAGGGAGGTCAGCTATCGAAACAAGAAGCCAGAGGGAGGGGAATCGCTGGGCAAGCTGCTCTCCAGACTCAGCTGGGAGGGATTTTCCAGAAGCACGAGTTCCTGAGTGACCTCTGCAGACAAGATCGGCCCTCTTGCTTTGCCGCTTTCCCAATGTTGTGAGGCTCTGCCCTCGAGCCTTGGCAGGGAAAAAGAAAAAGTTATACTGCTGTAAGGTATGGAGCTGTCATTCACTCGGTAGAGCTGGTTCCACTACTAGGACGATCCAAGCACCAGGGAGCCCCAGGCACAACCAGGCTTGTGGTATCCTGACCAGCCATCGACTCCCCTTGTTGGGGAGGGCACCATTTTAGCCCAGACATTAGAGGATCAAGTTGCTTCTTTTTTTTCCATATTGCAGGAGGCTGATGAGACAATAGATAATTATGTATATGAAGCTGTTGGAGTGCTCAAGAAAGGAGCTGTGTAGACTGCAAGATATAGATTCCAGTTCCTAGCTGCCTGACCCTTTGCAACCGTCAAACACGCCTTAATCTGTTGACTGAGCTGAGCACGCGCACTTGCCAACAGCAGATGGCGCTGTTGCAGCAAAATGAAATGAAGTGGCCATCAATTTCAGATTCTGGGCATTATGAAAACAAACTTGCCCTCTGTTCTCCTGTTTATCGTGTAGACGTTACTGAATACGAGGTCAGCGCTTACAGCAAATCCACAGCCACTGCTTCAGGAAGGAAATCGGGTTATTCCAATCCTGGAGAAGACAAAAGCTTGGCTGAAAATAGGACCAGCTGTGAGGCGAGTGCAGGTGAGGGCTCCGGCTCCCAAGGTCTGACTGGGCTGGCTCCTGGCTCACCTTCTTCTCAGTTCAGTTCTTAGGATGGGTCTTGGTTAATTTGCACATCTGGCCGTGAGTTGGGAGTTGAATATTTCTAATCAAGTGGAGACAAAGAAACCTGTGTGTTCCATCAGTTCCCTGGTGTGTGATGAGCAAGTTTCCTAACAGGAAGATGAGAGGCTAGCCTAGTTCTGCGGGGCCAGACCTGGAGAGATGTGAACAGTTCAACGCCAGCAGTCATCAGATGCAGATTCCTGAGGTCCCATGCCACAGCACCCGTGAATCACAGCCTGCAGCGATGGGCCTCAGAGGCCGACTTTGTAATCTGACACTCAGCTGTTCCTCGGCGAAGTGAAGACGGTCAGGCGTTCACCAGCCCATCCGCTGGGGTCCAGTGTCCACACCATGGAGGGTGACGACGACGAACAGCTAGTGACTGACATTCTGTGGCCCAGGCACTACTCCAAGCACATCAGTGTGACCCTCAGGATGGAGCCATGAGGTCTTCCTTTTCGTTTTTATAACACCTGCGTATCCCAGATGAGGAAATGGGAGCTCTTAGGCCTCGGCCCTGGAACCCAGGAGAGGTCTCTCCAGGGATGCTCTCATTGTCGCGTGGCACATTTAGATGTCCCCTTCTGGCCGGATCTGAGCCTCACAGAATGAGGATGAATTCTGGGCCCATGGTTAACTGTGGCATTTAGATAACGAGTTTCTACCAGAAACTTAACAAAACCAGATTAAAGTGAAGTGTGAGTAACGCAGGTGAGGTAAAAAAGGATTCCTTGATTAACTGTAAGGACCCTTCAGCCTTACACTGGGTCAACAAAGGAGTGTTTCTTTAAACTTTTCTGTGTGACTTGGATTTCCTTAAGAGTGCCCTAGTGGCGAGTCACACCTGTTTGCAATACAAATGATATCATGAAGAGTGTGGGTGCAGGAGAAATGAATGCCTTTTAAGACCCGAGCAGATGTCTGTGAATGTGAGCATATGCGGATCTGGTGTTGCACGTGTAAGAGTGTGTCAGGGTGCGTGTGAGACTGAACATGTGAGTGTACATGTGTGAGAATGAGAAGTGAGTCAGTGGAGTGTGAGAATACAGAAACGGAAGTGTGAGCAAGAGCAAGTGTGCATGTGAGCGTGAAGCCATGTGTTAGCACGAGTGTGGCGACTCGTGAGAGCTCGGGGACAGATCTTGAGGGGAAGCCAGAGCAGATGGCCCCGGGGGCAGGGCCTGGAGCAGCTAGGACCCGTCCTGCAGGGTGTCTGTGGGCAGGAGACCCACGGGCAAGAGCCAGGGTCTTCTGTGATAAATGGGCATAATGATAAGAGGAACGGGCAGTGGAAGGTGAGGACGCCGTTGGAGGGATTCCCGCAGACCCCGCTGGCTCTCCTCCGAGACTCAGCCCCTCTGCGGGGAGAAGCGGTGTGGGCTCCCACAGCCCAGCTCTCGGATCCTGGCTTGCCAGTCTTTTCTGTTCTCTCATTAGTCTGTGGTTGTGCCAAACCCCTGAAGCATGAACAGACTGAGTGACCTTCCAGAACCTTCAGGGAAACAGCAGCCGGGAAGAGGAGCTTTGCTTACTCAGACACAGATCTGAGCCCACAGTGCGGCGAGCCAGCTGAGGAGCCTGTTGGCGGGAGGGGAGGACTCACCTCAGTGCGCTGTACCCCTGGCACACGCTCACGCAGCACAGCACCTTTTCCTGGTTTGCCTGAGTTTCTCCCAGGTATTTGCACACGATGTTACCACCCAGGCTGAAGCCCACCACCACCAGCTGGGTCAGGGGATACATCCTCTTGATATAGTTCACCATGGCTCCAAACTCCCACGTGCAGCCTGTGGGCGAGAAGAGTATGACACTCAGTCATTGCAACAAATACTGGACACAGTGCAAGCGGGAGGATTAGTAAATAGGGATCCACGCAGATGGGGACTTTAGAAACGTCACGGAAAATGTCTATTATGAAAAATAAGTTTTACCCTTTAATTCCATTTTCCATAAAGCTTTTGGAGTATATATCCAAAGAGAGACAGACTGCTTTTTGGCTAGCCAGAGACACGCATGTAGGAATTAGAGAGAGGGCGCCTCTAGTGTCCATGCGCCAAGTATCACGTGTCTAGTTGATGTGCAATGTTCCTTTAACGGAGGGTCACAGGAAACCTCACAGAGACCAACTGACAGGGCTTGCCTAAGTACTCATGTTGACATGCGCATGTAGCAAAAGCAACAGCAAAACCTTTTGGGAGCAGCTTCTTAGGCTGTTAATTAGGACACTATGCCCAAGTGTAAGGTGACTCATGAGGGTCAGGAAAGCACCCAGCGGATGTGATTCATAGGATCTTTTTGTTAGCGTTGTGGAGGGATGGAGAGACCAAGTTGAGTCCAGAGGGACAGCCAGAATGCTCTGAGGGTGAGAGCGAAAGAGCCTTGGTGATGCAGGCACAGGGTGCCAGGGGAAGCAGGCCATTCACAAACACACACAGGAGGCCTCTGAGCAGCACGGTGTTTGGGCTGCTTTTCCCAGGCGGGGAATGATCTCAGCTGGGGTCCCCAGGGAAGGCAAGCCTTGGTACAAGTGGCAGCTCGTGAATGGCCTGGCACCAGACAGGCACGAGAGCAGCAGTGCAGTGGAGACGCGAGCTGCTGACAGCGGCGCCAGTTCCGACATTCCTCATACGGTCGGCAAACCACGACGCCATGACCTTTCCAGGCTGTGCATGTTTGTCTTCCTTTTTGAGTGGGATGCAGCTTAAGGCAGGCCAGCACAACTGCTTGCAGTGTGCAGAGTGCCCTGCAGGTGATGTTAGAGGCAGCCATTTGCGGGAGAATCACTGTCAGAGAAGTTGATTCCATAGGACACGGGTCAGGCCCAGGAATGGGCAGAAACGGTGTTTCTCTGAGTGGATAGATAATATGTATGGCAGTAAATTCAAATGCTGTAAAAGATGCAGTGAAGGGGCCACCACAGCTGGTAAGGCTACCACTTTGTGTTGCGTTGGCATCCCATACATGCTCGAGTCCTGGCTGCTCCACTTCTGATCCAGTTTCCCGCTAATGTACCTGGGAAAGCAGCAGAGGATGGTCCAAGTGCTTGGGCCCCTGCATCCAATGTGAGAGACCGAGAATGTTCCAGGCTGTGGACAGGCCCAGTTCTGGTTTTTGTGCTCATTTAGGGGATGAATCAGAGGATGGAAGATCCCTCTGTCTCCCCTCCACCTGTAACTCTTTCAAATAAATGTCTTTTTTTTTTTTTAATGCAATGAAGAGTTCATTTCCTACATTACTTTTAAACTAGCAGTGGTAGTATACACATTGTTTGGTGCCCTGCTTTATCCCTTTACAATATGTCTCACAAGCCTTTATGTATCAGTACACAGAAAGAATCTTGTTCTATTTTATTTCTATGAAGGTACAACTTATACACAGCAAAATACACAGTGTTCTGCATTTCCATCCAGGTAACCATTACTCATACCAAGATACAATCCCTTCCTGGTCCCTTGGAAGCCATCTCATTCCAGACAAAATGCCCTAGACTTGGATGAATGATTATAATACAAAGGTGCTGGGAGCATGGGGTCTTGGAAAATGGCAAAAAGTGCTTGAAACTAATAGGGAGGGCCCGGTGTGACAGCCTAGCAGCTAAAATCCCTCACCTTGAACGTGCCAGGATCCCATATGAGTGCCAGTTTGTATCCTGGCAGCCCTGCTTCCCATCCAGCTCATTGCTTGTGGCCTGGGAAAGCAGTAGCGGACAGCCCAAAGCCTTGGGACCCTGCATCTGCGCAGGAATCCTGGCTTTGGATTGGCTCAGCTCCGGCCGTTGTGGTCGCTTGGGGAGTGAATCATTGGACGGAAGATCTTCCTCTTTGTCTCTCCTCCTGTGTATCTGACTTCCTAACAGGGAAACCAGGAGCCAAGAGCAACACCTTCTCAACACGGTCAGACTGGGCTCTGCGCTGGAACGAGGCACATTTCTCTCCAGTGAGCTAGCAGATGGTACAGTCTCCTAGTTTTTTCCCTGCAGCACCCAGCTGAGACTGGGAGGGTCTGCAGGCCTTTAACGAAGAGCTGATTGGCTGAGTGCAGTCTCATGGCTCCTAGACACTCTCCAGGAGGATCAAAAAGCCAGGATGGAGGGAACTTTGGACCTTTGACCTTGGAATTTGAACTGCCAGACTTCTAGCCCAGGTTTGGCCAGACTCATCTAAGGAATAGCGTATCTCTAAACACTGGAATTAAAAGGGGGAGTTGAGATGTCAGAGGGAGGTAGTGGCGGTCCTGAAACACGTGTAGCTGATGCTACAGATGCTCTTTCGCACAGCAAGTGAACACGTAAAAATTCCATCAGGGACACTGACTCACCTGCTCAGGTCATGAGCGACCCTAAAACCAGGGTCTTACAGGAGCAGCTGGGCTTCAAGGCTGAGGGAGGGCCCTTGTGGCCAGGCTGCACCTGCTCTCAAATCATCTCTGACGACAGGCAAGTCTTGAGGCATGAGAGAAACCCAGTTTTCCAGATCCCTGCTGGAGGGTTAGAGCTCCAGGAGTAGGATGGGGCCTGGGAGTGTGTACTTTTAACAAACTCCCAGGATGAAATTTTATCATGAGGGAACTTGGGAACATTACCAAACCGTACTGAATCTGTGGCCTCGGAAAGCAGTGTGATAACACCTATTTATTCATGCTTTTTAAAAAGCACAGCCCTGGGCCTGGCGGAGTGGCTTAGCGGCTAAAGTCCTCGCCCTGAACGTGCCGGGATCCCATTTGGGCGCCAGTTCTAATCCCAGCAGCTCCACTTCCCATCCAGCTCCCTGCTTGTGGCCTGGGAAAGCAGTCTAGCATGGCCCAAAGCCTTGGGTTCCTGCACCTGCTTGGGAGATCTAGAGGAAATTCCTGGCTCCTGGCTTCGGATAGGCGCAGTATCGGCTGTTGCGCTCACTTGGGGAATGACCCATCGGACAGAAAATCTTCCTCTCTGTCTCTCCTCCTCTATGTTTACTATGTTTATCTGACTTTCCAATAAAAAATAAACAAATCTTAAAAAAGAAAGCACAGTCCTGTGCTCACTTTGGCAGCATATGAACTAAAAAAACAAACAAACAAAAAAACAAACCACAGTCCTGGGCCCAGTGCGGAGGCCTAGTGGCTAAATCCTGGCCTTGCAACTGCTGGGATCCTATGTAAGCACCGGTTCGTGTCTTGGCTGTTCCACATCCCATGCAGCTCCCAGCTTGTGGCCTGGGAAGGCAGTAGAGGACAGCCCAAAGCCTTGGGACGCTGCATCCACATGGGAGCCCCAAAAGAAGCTCCTGGGTTCAGACCAGCCCAGCTCTGGCCATTGAGGTCATCTGGGGAGTGATCCAGTGGATGGAAGATCTTTGTCTCTCCTTCTCTGTGAATCTGCCTTTCCAAGAAAAACAAATCTTAAAAAAAGAAGAAGAAGAAGAAGAAGAAAAAGCGCAGTCTTTTTGTCTAGCAATTCCACTTTAGGGGACCTCCTGCTGCAGGTGTACTTGTACATGTGTGCACAGATATATGTGCAAGAGCGTTCCCTGCAGCGCTGTTGGCAGCAGCACAGGATTGGAAGCTACCTAAATTTCCATCTGAGTGAAGCGACTCATCACTGCTGTGGATAGGGAGGACACAGAGTCCCGTGCGGAGGTGTGCTGTGGCGCCAGTTCCCTGAGGGACAAGAACAGGAGGCAGACAGTGGGGATGGTACCATCTCCTGAGTGGGCTCGGGTGCTAGAGCGATGAGACATGCCTACACATCTGATAGAATACTTGCTGGGGAGAGAGATGGGCTTAGCATGGGACAGAGAATTTGGTACTGTTTAAATTATCATTATTATTATTTTTACTATGTTGTCTACATGACTTTTTTTTTTTTTTTTGGAAAGGAGAGACAGAGAGGAAGATCTTCCATCCGATGGTTCACTCCCCAAGCAGCTGCAATGGCTGGAGTTGAGCCAATCTGAAGCCAGGAGCCAGGAGCTCTTCTGGGTCTCCCACACGGGTGCAGGGTCACAAGGCTTTGGGCTGTCCGCTACTGCTTTCCCAGGCCACAAGCAATGAGCTGGGTGGGAAGTGGGGCCACCAGGATTAGGACTGGCACCCATATGGGATCCCGGCGTGTGCAAGGCAAGGACTTTAACCACTACACTATTGTGTCAGGCCCACCTACATTACTTTTCAAAATTTTTATTTATTTATTTATTTTTTATGATACAGTTCCATAGGCTAAGGGTTTTCCCTTTCCCCCCTTTAGATTCCCCTCTTTTCAACTGTTTCCCCTATATTATTATATATTTTTTTAAGTTTTATTTATTTGTTTTAATTGTTATTAACATTGTATTATGTGATACAGTTTTATAGGCACTGGGACTCCCCCCACCCCTCCCACAACCCTCCCCCCAATCCCCTATATTATTATAATAGCACTGTTTTTCAGCAACAGTCACAAGTCCATCATTCTGATATTTAGGTGTATCCTGACATTGTAAATATAGACAACGGTAGAAAGTACTTTTCCAATCAAAATCTAGATAGAAAACTTTAGCAAAAACAAAAAATACATATATTTATATTTCCTTAAGCCAGTTTTGACTAGCCTAAAGATGTCCAACATACCATTTGTGCTGGAGCAGTGGTTTGTGCTGGGGACATTGTTCCTTGCATAACAAATGACAGGGGCTGCTGCGATGCCTCAATGGCTAATCCTTCTGCCTGCAAGTGAAGGCATCCCATATGGGTGTCTGAGCTGCTCCACTTTCAATCCAGTTCCCTGCCTATAGTCTGGGAAATCAGCAGAGGATGGCCCAAAGCCTCAGAT